AGCTTTTCTTTAACTCCAGCCTGCCGTTCTCATCGCATCCCTCATGCTAACATGAATACTTGAGAAGCTATAAGGCAACTCCAAACAAGGAACTGCTCCTGTGTAAGACCAGCATAGCAAAGAAACAAGGTGTGGTCAGCCTTTGCCTGACACAGACCTGTCCAGGTCCCACCCAAGTCATGGTGTGACTACAGCAGTGCACAGTGCAGGTCACAGAAGTGGGAATGAAAAGTGCAAGAGCAGGGAATTGGGACGGTTTCTCATCAGTAACTGCAACAGCTTTTACCTGATCAGAGCATTCATGAAACTCCAGCTTGCATTTACTTCCAAAATTTCAATTCTTTGAATATTTTTTCCCAAATTATACTTGCTGATGTAGGGTTAGAAATTAAGAATTTTTTCTCCATGCCTGGGACACAAAGACCACTACTGCAGTAAGAGCAGCAGCTGCAGGATAACATGGTGTGTGACAGCGATAAATGCTTCAGAACTACATATTTTACTGACAGACTACTGCAAATTTTTCACTCCTACATATGAAGATTAATTGTGTACAGCAAGTTATACTTCTCTACATTCACCAGTAACGTGAATTACTGGTAATTAATTACAGGACATACCAGTGCTGGGTACTTATCTGCCCTACATCTTCTAGTGTACATTCATTTGCCCCAAGTACAGCATTCCATAATCAGAGCAAACACAAACCACGATCACAACTCGCCCAAGCTTAAATTACAACCCTAAATAGACAACATACAATCTTCAAATTTTCTTTGCACAAAAAACTATTTCTTTATCCAAAATCCTTTTTGAAGGTTTTGGATCCTGTTACAATGACAATTGCCTACACTGCTAAGAAAGTACCTGCAGCATGCTGTTCTCCCTCAACACTTCATTCCTAAAAATCATTGCAGCTCCTTTTAGATTAAAGATCTGTTAAACTATCCGGACTAAAATTTGGAATCTGTGCCTACAAATCTAGCACCTCTTTAAAGTCAGATAAAAATAACTTTTGGATGAAACGTTGGCATTAAAACGTTTGGATAAAATGTCTTAAAGCATAAACATTTTCTTAGGCCTGTTACAAAAAATGTTGGATAAAAAGGCATGAACAACAACAGCTTAATCCAGCCCATGTATCACACCCCCTTCTGGAATAGGCATGACTCCACTAATTACAACCTCAAAGAAATTATCATTATGGGAACAGACAGGTACCCCAGGCAGTACCAAGACATTTCATCTGAATGCGTGCTCCTCCTGCCAGCCCGTGCCTTGGTGGCCCCCTTCCATCGACCTACCCACGGGGAGCATCGGCGCTGGAGTGACTGAGACATTGAATAATCGCCGCTGTCAATGTGGGAGGCGACAGAATGAGCAGACTCCCCGGACGGTGTTAACAAACCTGCTAAGGAGACGAATGCCTTTAGCTGCACTTTCACACTCCGGAATTGGTTTCAGTATAAAACAAAATCTCACTTGTAAAAAGCCTAATCTGTAAGAAGAGTACTGATGCTCAACCTTAAAGTGCTGAATTCTCACCTTCCTCTTGAGTAATAATGGAGGTTTCTGTCCTGCATGTATGACTTTCCCCATACCATTTCTAAGACATTCAAAATACCCCAGGCAGCACTTTCACATAAACCAGCTCAGTTACCAAAAAATGACATTTTACCTGTTCAACTGGCCAGAGAAAACACACCTTACAAAAAACTCAGTGATTTTTCACACATGCAGCAAAGAACTTACTTTGCAGAAAAATGTCACGCTGAATATTCACTCACTTATTTCTAGGGGTCTGACATTTATTGGAGTAACTGAAGTGGGTGAAGGTTTTGATTTGTGGGCAAACCATGGCCTTGGGGGTTTTACAACACATGATGGCCTCAAGCAAAACATCTGATACAACTCTCACTGAACTACCACTTCCTCCTATTATTTTTATATTTTTAGAAGACTTCTAAAGTTTATATAAAAACAAAAATTAAATTCCTTTTATCCTCCTTTGTCCCTACGTGCTGTTACTAACAAATGCTCAATATTTCACTGGTTCATTCCAAAAGCCCAGTCCATACTTTATGTGAGGTTACTGGGAGGAACAAATGTGAATGATGACCCCTGAGCCTTTCTATGCTCCCCAAACCTCTCATGAGCTTCCCCAGGAACATACGAATCACAAGCAATCATGGTACGCTTCACCATATAGACTTCCGTGAATCTCTTTCAGTTGCTAATAACATAGTTGATGTAATCTTTTTTCACATGGATTTGCATGAGATGATGGAAAACTACTGGTACCAGCAGAGAAGCCCACTGGGAGTCCTAATCATCAATAGTGAAGTTTCAGCTGCTATGGCAGGTCTTCAGCCTCTGAGCAGCTCACCTTGCCTATTCGGCTCTGCTCCTCTCGTAGCTGTGATTGCTCCTACTCCTCCTGGCAAGGAAAATATGTTAGAAACAGCTGCTATTCCTCCTTCTGCTGCTTCCCCTCAGTGGGAGGAAGGCAGTGAGGGCTGCCAACAATGTAATGGCTTTGCTGAAGCCACATATTTTTACATGACAGCGCAGCCACGCAGGCCAGTCTTGCAGGCTGCTACCGCCTGCACGTACGGAAATCTACATGAGCAACAGTCCTTGTAGGGTAAGGACCCGCAGTACTGCCTTTTGCAGCCACCTCAGAGGTAAATAATACTCTAAACACTCCAATTTCATTCAGCTGCAATACAAAGGAAGACCTAATCCAACCACTAGTGAGGTCCAGAGGTGCATTTTCACTATTGACAGCAAGTTACATCAAGTCCCAACATTTTCAAGCACAGGCATCTGGAAATAAGGATGCAGCTCTCCACTCACTTTGAGACAACATCATAATTTTTTAAGCTGTCATCAGATAAAAGCCTTGCCCTCTCCTTTGTGCTGTGTTTCCACTCATACACAGTGGATCAGGTAGCAGATCTGGCTTAAAATGTCTTCTGGCTGAGTTAGTTTTAATCTGGAGCTGTTTTCTAGTGTCATCTACATGGTTTGTCTTCTGGCTGAGTTAGTTTTAATCTGGAGCTGTTTTCTAGCGTCATCTACTGTGCAGCTGCATAAAACTCTACGTCAGCAAATAGGCAGTTGTGTAGGAGAGAGGGCAGGGGTCCCTTCAGCAACAGTTTGCCTTCAGTTGCGTTTAAAAGAGTTTTTACAGTACTTACTCAAAAATGCCCAGCCTGAAAAATGACATCCAACCCCAAGCACAAGAGAAAACACAATCTGTTCGGAAATACATGGTACTAGAACAAACCCCTCTGAAGTCTTTGAGAGCACTTTGAGAAATACAGAAGACCACTGCTCCTCTATTGCAAGAACTGTAAGTAAAACTGAACACAATTTTGAAATTGTGTTTTTCCTTGTACAAAAAGGATTCCTGATTTCCTAGAGAATACAGCATGAATTTCAACTATCATGATTGCTTTATTATACTACAGTTATGTAATAATATTTACAGTCATCGCAGTGACGGTCCAGTATTTTCTTGATAGAAACTTCCAGAACATCCTCTGGACAGTTTTCCTACCTACACAAAAAAGTCTGTCACAATTAACTATGTTTATTTCTTAGTGTGCTTCAAATAAAGCTGATATTTACTTTCTAGTGCCTGTTACAGCACTCACAACCAACCAGTGTCCCATCACAGGAATCAACTGAATGAGCACGGAACCCATCCCTACGGCATCCACTCCTCTTGCATAACACAGTACAATCCAACTGAATGAAAACCTATTGTCATCAATGGATTTATTCTGAAATAAAACTTGAATGGAGGACTTGGTGCTGTGACATTCTCCAAAGGACCTCCCTGCAGCAGTATGCCTTCCTCAAAAAATGTCATTGTAAATGGAATTAATTTGTTATAGAGCATGAACAGGTTTACATGTCAGGTCAGTTACTCAAGCCATTATTACTAATGAGAAATCCAAAGCAGTATATAATCAGCTGATATGTGAACCCAACAGATAACAACCATGCTAGAAAATGTCCTAGAGTGATGAGGATACACACAAAAAAGCTTATCTTTTTTCATGCTCAGTATTACTATATGATGGCAAATTCACTCCCTGCTTCCCAAATACAAACCAGCTCTAGTTCCCAACTAGCTAGCCAGCACACTGAATGCTAAAATCATCAGTCACACTGCAGAAGTATGCTAACAAATGTCAGTAAGTCAATTCAGCACAAACATCAGGCAAAAAAAAAAAGTTCTGTTTGACAGTTCTTACTGCCTTACCGCCTGGGAAACGAAAAGATCCACGTCACTGCTTACAAGGCTGTTTCTCATACATAAACCAATTTCTAATTTTACATCTTCATATGGCTGCTAACTGCACAAAATTATCAATTCATCATCATGTAAATAAGTCCTTGTCCATACAATGCTAAGGGATACGGGTGCATGAGAAAAGGAGATCAAGGAAAGCCCACTTCAAATGAGAAGAGCGAGAAGAAAGGGAGGCACAGTATCCCAATTTCAGACCCATAAGAAGAAAGAGAAGAAAACACAATATCCCAATTTGAGACCCATCCACCAAAGACTTGGCAGAAAAGAAGAGCTTTGCACTGTGAATGGAAAGATAACAAACTTGAGCTGTGGTGAAGGGTTAATGGGAACCAGTTTCATAATCCTACTGCGGAATATGCTTGAATATACATGGATAAAGAAATGTAACCTGTGAACAATTTTAGATGCAGTTCATAAGTAGCTGTTATATATATATTTATTTACACAGCGAAAACATTTGCATTTGGTACTTACTAGAAAGCTTTCACCATAAGCTCCAGTCAAATATTACTTTGGAGCCAAGCCCATATTAAGAGGATATAAAATTTTCAGTGGGATAGTAATATTTAATGAAGTCTAGAAAAATAGAAACAGGTCTTCAGAAAAAACATTTTTTTCTCTCAGATATTATAGAAAGACTAGTATTAATTGCCAAATTTTTAAACTGAATACTTACCTTTTCAACTTGGGTATTTTCTTCACTTGTTACACTTGCTTTTCTTGATTCGTTTTTTGTTCTGCTCAGCCTCCGGGACACTTTTTCTCTAAGCAAAGTGGCATATCCAATGTGTTCATAGATGGGGTTTGTTGTCATTTTGGAAATATACTCAGAAGCCTTTGTTTCTATATACAATGTTATCAAGCCATCTGTAACTAGATCATGGATTGATTCGAATCTTTTCTCCCCAACGAAGTGCTTCCCATCATAGAACAACCTGTAGTTTAAGGTCTGGTTACCAAATCTACCAGAAAAAAAGGAGGGAGAAAAGAAAGAGAGAGAAAGAAGAGTGAGAGAGAGAATTCATACTGGCAAAACACTCAGGAGGTAATTTCGCTGATGAGTCTGTATGTCTGGATTACAAATGGAATACGCACATGGCTGCAACTGGATCTCTGTGGATACACCAACTCAAGTTCAAACCTAAACGTCACTGCATCACTGCATCACGTGGACCACGCTACAGAACCTAGGCCAAGTCTCCATAACAAGCCGTGCGACCCAGATGTAGGCGATTTAAATCTAAATCATAAGTGGACTACTGCAGCGATCAGAAAGGCACGTGTGCATTGGCAAGGCCTTATACTGGGATGTGTAATTGTGTTAAGTGCTTTCACATCCCGAAATGTTTCTGAGGTGCAGAAACTGGATGCTTAATCACCATGAGCATGTTTACAGTCAGTGAAGAGAGCTGGGCATCTCTAGCAAGTAACTCGAATTCTAAGGGTCTCAATCACCCTCTGGTAGAAAGCCAGCGAGACAGAGCTCCTAATTCAGGGCCCAATTAAAGACCCAAAGTTCTGTGGGATAACTCTGGCCCTATGCAGCTATTTATGGCAGGTGTAATCTATGGGTTTTTTTAAAGAGTTTTAAAAATCAAAGTGCTATAATAGCACATTCGGCTTATAACACCGATATTGGAATCCCATTCTTGATTAAAGGATTCAAAGATATGACATTGGGTTAAATGGTCCTTATATTGCATCAAATGCGCACGTCTCTGCATACTTTGTTGAGTGTTCAAACTAAACTGTTTAAGCCTCTTATTTTTCAGCCCACATTTTTGTATGAATTCCCTATTTACTATCAAATTCAGTTTACGATCTTGCAAATAATTATTCAGACGGAGTTAGAAATCATGCTGTTGTGTTAAAACAACAGGCACTTTGCCATAATCCCCATCCTTTGGTAGGTTTTTTTATTCTTTATTTTGAAGTATCTTTCCAAAACCCTAAAAAATTACATTTGTTCTTTTTCAGCTGACAAAAGTTGCTTTTAATTTACACCACTTTTTAGTTGGCATGACTCACCAGCTTTTCCAGCTCTACCATCTGCACATCTACAGAATTTGTGAGGATGATTTCAGCACTGTATCACAGCTACTTGGGATAACTCCTTAAAGGATTTTTCCTACTGGCTTACCAGCAGAAGGGTAAAAATGCAGACTTTTATTTTGTGTATATCCCACAGAAGTAATAATGCTATAAACATTGTAAAATATTGCCAAAGAGTTGTTTTGTAGAAACTCAATGGAATATGTAACCCATAGCAGCTTTAAGACTGTGGCGTGGGCAGGTTTTGAATGGCACAACTAAGGCAGCAAAGGCACCGGTGAGGGGCAGCGAGGTAGCAGATTTGGCTCCCACTGAATTTTTCATTCAGCTGAACAGCAGACTTACTTCTTTGAGCAGCAGCATCCCATGCTTCACATCGTGTTTATACAACAAGCTTGAATTCCGTTAGGGAAGAATACTGGTCTGGTATGCTGCCTTTGACAGCTGGTCAGCCACCGGACTTCGTGATTTTCCAGGTTTATCCAGGGTTATTATCACTGGTAGTTGCCACTGTTTGTGTACAACGTATCACTAAGCACAGAGACAACCTGTCTGTGTCCTCTGCCGAGACACTCCCTCGTGGTGTACTCCCTCACCTCTCTTACACAGTTTTCAAGGAGAAGCTCCATCTTTACAACACTCTAAGCAGCAAAAATTTTGAAAACAGACACAATCTGCATCTGAAAAGGGACTTCCTAGGCAAGTGCTAAAGGAGTGACAGAATATTGCAGTACTGCGATTGTCAAACTGCTGACAAGAGGGTGTAAAATCACTCTGACACCATGAAGTGTATTAAGTAACAGTGGACATAGACTTCACTCAAAACGGACTGATATAACCACCTCCATTAAACACATTTACATTTGAATTATAAGCCTCTATTAAAACAGCATTTACCTGAGAGCAAGAGTATAGCAGCCAGGTTGCCGCTGGCTTTCTCTAAGAATATACGCTCCTTCTACGCCAGCAAGTATTTCATCTGCTTGTTCCCGAGAAATGATCCCGTGAAACCTAAGGGAAGACATTTCAGTGACTTGCAGAACAATCCAACCAGAAACACCTCCTCCTCCACCCCAGAAACCGCTCAAAAACTTCCGCACTGCAGAGCATCATGCTCTAAGCCATCAGGACAGTGTGCAAGCATCTAAAAGTGGCAGGACAGTCTTCTAGCCTGGGCAAGTCCTGCACAGAGGCAAAATAAAAATGACACTGTATATGCAGTTTCAGTCAGTATAAGCCAGTATGATACTTCAACTGCACCCAAAGACTTTTTTTCTGTAAATGCCCCATCTTTTCACCTCTAGCAGTCTATGCTCCTTTTCCTTGTTTCCTTTCTAGAGACCTTACAACAGAATTGAAAACTAGGCACAAAGGCATTATGTCTTTTTAAATGGAGATGACTTAAAATTTAGAGGTCATTCTTATTAGCAGTTTGCTTTATTTTCATATTAATATTGCTTCATCAAATTTGTAAGAGAAACTGAGACAAAAGAAGGCAACAATTATTCAAAATTCTAATGTGCATCTATTAAAGTAGGAGAAGATGCAAAGTAGCCTTGAGAAAAATATTGTTTTCTTCATTTCAATGAGCTCCTCATTCAGTGTTGGAAAATGCAGTACTTCTCTGATTCTTTTGTAATTGCTATTTTAAGAAAGAAAGAGGCCCTAGGATGCACAATTAACCTTACTATAATCAATATTTAGCAGTGATCTTTCCGTAAGCACAAACGCAGTCCTTACAGCAGTTTGCGTCTTAACTCCTACACACATTTTGCTAGCTGATACATCTCCATGGGTCTCCTCAGAGGTTTTGAAAGTTTCTATTTTTGCTGCTGTCTGAAAAAAAGGCACTAAAACGTACTGGCCTTCAGCATTTTCTCTTTTCTGACAATACATATGAAGTGGCACATTCCTAACACTGCCTCTGGCTCAGCAGCAAAAGAGAAGAAAAACACATCGGATGTAAATGCAATTGTTGTTTGGTTCTCATTATGTTGTCTTTTCACAGTTAATACAGGTTGGAAATACTAGGTTTAGGTGATCTTTCCAGAGTAACTTTCTATTCAAAATTACGTAAATTGGTTCATACTTTCTGTCTGTAGCAGCGGGGGACACACTCATTTACAGCCACATCCAAATTGAAATGAGCATCCCCTAGATGACATAATTTAAGCATGTCTTTACCACTAAACTCATAGCAATTCATAACTCTAGTTAAAAATAATGAGCATAAGCGATTTGCCACCAGAAGTTCATTATAAACTATAGCAGGTGTTAGGTTAGATATCAGGAAAAAAGCTCTCCTGGTGATCAATTTAAGAAATCACTGGGACAGGATACTTGGGGCACCTGTGAAATTTCTTTAACCATGGGTGGCAAGCACCGGGTAATTCAAGCTTTCTTACTGATATTTTTGGTACATTTTTATAAGGGCATCAAACCAGCTTGCACATGGTACAAGATCCCCTGAACTCGGACATCTGCTTCTGACAGCAGCAGACAAAAAATGCTTATGGAAAGTGTACAGGAAGCAGTGACGTATTTCTTTCACTTCACATCCCTGTCCATCCATGACTAGTTTAGCCAGAAATTGTGACCTTACCCTTCATGAATCCAAGAATCTCACTTGTAAACCATTTGATATCTTTATGCTTTTGGCCTCCACAGCACCCTGTGGCAATGAACTTGAGAGGAGCACTGTGCATGTCCCCCTCTTGGACAGCCACTGAGGAAGACCTGTTCATTCTCCTCCTATGGGAGGAGCTGCATCCCTCTGCTCCACTGTTATTGCACTTTGCTGTACCTTCCATTTCTTCCATAACCTTTCTAAAAAGAAGGGAGGAGGGAGGGGTAGAGAGGGACCAGAACTATGTGCACTGTTTAAAATTCAGCCACATCACAGATTTATACAGTAATATAATAATGTTTTTTTTCGTTTTCTTTCCCTAAAAAATTCCTGATTCTCTTTCCAAGCACTGAGTCAATTGCTTTTATAGGACTGCCCTAGTGGCTCTGAAATCTTTCTGAATGATAGTAACTAACGTGATCTTGCCTGTGCAGGTTCACTGAGGTGACTTCCTACAGTTCCTGCCAGCCCTGCTGCTCCACAAACCCAGAGTATGTCAACAGACAGGCTTCCTGGATAACAGATTGCGGTAATGGTTTTAGAAGTCTTGCTGTAGGAAGTGTGATGGGTTACTCAGGTAGGTACTGTCTTCAGCTCTGTTGTACTCTATTGGCTAGATCTGAATCCCCTGTTGTCGAGGATAATATTTAAAAAATGAAACTTCAGTAATTAGGGGCAAAGCTACTGGCTCTTGAGGTTTTTGATGGTAGAAAAGGATCATTAAAGACAGATGACGCGTCTGGGATGGAAGAAAAAAATAGAACACGGGATCTAAGTAATTTAGCTAGTGATAAGGGCTAGGGCCTCAGCAGGATCCAGCCCCTTTCAAGCTATTTATTGGCAAGAAGACTGCTGAGCACCAAGGAATTATACTCTAGTGGTCCTCACAACAAAAATACACCTCTTCCTTGGGCATGTTTGGCCTCGTAAGTCTAGCAAGGAAAACAGCAGTTACCAGTGCAGCAGTATACACACCTACTTCCACAATCAGGCAGGCTGGTGAAAGTATAGCAACACACACAAAAAGGCAGTGAGAGAGGCAAGCTGCTTCTCTCCTCCCGGGGCCACTGCAGGATCACTGGGAAGTGAAAGCAACAACCCACATAAAAGGAAGAAATACTCCAGACAATATTTTGTTCCCAAACTATCCTGAGAAAAGCAAAATAAACATGCAGGCTCACACAGCAGCACAGCCCATGGATTGTGAGCATGGTACAGGAATGTAACATAATAAAATCATTAGGCTTTCAATATATTTAGCTCTCAGTTGAAGTGAAAGGTAAAACATTTTATCAGACCTTGATTGTATCTATATTTTTTTTTTAGTTCTAGAACAACAACTTTTGGATACACCCAACATATACTTAAAAGAGGAAAATACTTACTCTCTTCCATAATACTTTGGTCTGTTCTCCACCTAAATTTTGAAAGAAAGGAAAAAAATATTAAGAACATACTAAATTTTAAATAAACTACGTGAACTACATAAATTATGCCTCATTATTAATCAAGGACTACTGCACCCATTTAAGTGACAAAATTCTGCAGATTCCAAACAGTGACTTGAACATGACTACGCAGAATAGAAAAATGTAGACAGAAGAGGTGATTTTGATGGATCTCTGGGAAGAAGTAACACGTATGGGTGGTGAAAAAATCGAACTACATAGAATTGTGTAAAATCTGATCAAACAGATAAAGAATGGTTTACTGCAGTTTTGCAAATCTAGTATTTATAATATAAAGACTATTTTTGTTACACAGCCTTTCGCTTCTTAAACACATTTTTTGCCTATATACGGCAACTGACTGAAGATAAAAAGTTTAACGCTCTTGGGAAAAGCAAGGATTCTGGATTTAGACCTAGCCTTAAATTCCTTGAAGTCTCAAGAACTGGCGGGCCTTATCCAAAGCCCACCGAGAGCTGCCGCAAGGCCTCCCCGTCGCTTTAAAGAGCTTTCGACCAAGCTTCGGGAACGCCACGTTCTTATCCAGAAACTCCGGGCACGTCTGACACTCGGAGGCGTTTCTCAGCCCCTCCTGTCTTTGCTCCGGCTCTCGGGTGCCCCTCGGGGCTGCCGGGCGGGCGGCC